TTCTCCACAAACTTTAAGTGTTCTCTCTATGCCATTATCCAAATAATTTATGAAGATATTGAACAGAACTGATCCCTGAAGGACCCTACTTGATATGCCCTTCCAGGTTGTAACTGAACCACTGATAACTACTCTTCGGGAATGGTTTTCCAACTAGTTATGCACCTACCTTAGAGTAGCTCCATCTAGGTTGTATTTCCCTAGTTTATGAGACGGTCATGCGACACAGTATGAAAAGCCTTCCTAAAGTCAAAGCTATGCCACCTACCCCTTCCTCCCTATCCACAAGGTTTGTTATCCTGTCAAAGAAAGCTATTAGGTCAGTTTGACACAATTTGTTTTTGAGAAATCCATGCAGACTATTGCTCATCACCTTATTATCTTCTAGGTGTTTGCAAATTGATTTGCTCCATTATCTTTCCAGGTACTGAAGTTAAACTCAGAGGTCTGTAATTCCCTGGGTTGTTCTTATTCCCCTTTTTATAGATTGGCACTATATTTGTTCTCTGGAATCTTTCCTGTCTTCCATGAGTTTTTGATGATGATCACTAATGGCTCATATATCCTCAGTTAACTCTGAGTATTCTAGGACGTATTTCATCAGGCCCTGGTGACTTGAAGACATCTAACTTGTTTTTTCCCCTATTTTAGCCACAGCTCCTCCCTCATTTTTAATGGTTTTCACTATGTTAGACATTCAGTAGTTACTAACCTGTTTGGTGAAAACTGAAACGAAACAGTTAGCACTGCTGCCTTTTCCACATTTTCTGTTATTGTCTCTCTCTCTCTCTCTCTCTCCTGCCCCCCATTGAGTAATGGGTCTACCCTGTCCTTGGTCTTCCTCTTGCTTGTAAAGTATTTGTAGAATGTTTTCCTATTACCCTTTGTCTCTAGTTGAATCACATTTTGTGCCTTGGCCTTTCTAATTTTGTCCCTACATATTTGTATTCTTTGTTTATATTTATCCTTTGTAATTAGACCTAATTTCCACTTTTTGTAGGACTCTTTGAGTTTCAGATCATTGAAGATCTCTTGGTTAAGCCAGCAGGGTCACTTGCCGTATTTCCTATCTTTGCTGCACAGTGATAGTTTGTTGTTGTACCCTTAATGTCTCCTTGAAAAACAGCCAACTCTCTCAAACTGTTTTTCCCCTTAGACTTACTTCCCATGGGATCTTACCTACCAATTCACTGAGTTTGCTAAAGCTGCCTTCTTGAAATCATTACCTTTATTGGGCAGTTTTCCCTCCTACCATTCCTTAGAATCATGATCTGTCATTTCATGATCACTTTTGCCCAAGCTGCCTTCCACTTTCAAATTCTCAACCAGTTCCTCCCTGTTTGTCACAATCAAGTCTAGAACAGCCTCTCTCCTCGTTGCTATTTCCAATGTATTCCAAGAACTTGTTAGATGATCTGTCCCCTGCTGTATTATTTTCCCAACAGATGTCTGGATAGTTGAAGTCCCCCATCACCACGAAGTCCTGTGCTTGGGATGCTTTTGTTAGTTTAAAAAAAAAAAAAAGTCTCATCCATCTCTTCTTCCTAGTTTGGTGTTCTGCAATAGAATCCTACCATGACATCACTCCTGGTTTGTTTGTTTGTTACCCCTTTTACACCTACCCAGAAACTTTCAACAATTCTGTCTCTTTCCATTTCAACTTCAGTCAAAGTGTATACAGTTTTGATATATAAGGCAACACCTCGTGCCTGTCCTTCCTGAGCCAGCTGTACCCTTCTGGAATATTATCCCACCAAATCTCTGATGCCAACTGTGCCATAGTTGTGTTTATTTCTAGTTCTTCCTGTTTGTTCCCCATATTTCTTGCATTAATATACAGATATCTACGATACTGATCTGATATGTCTCTCCCTTGTCCCTGGGGTTCCAGGTTTTTATCTTAATTACCATCACATTTGCTCAGCTTACAAGTAAAAATGATTTTTTTCCCAGCCTTGCAACCTCAAAAGGTATTCATAGACTGATAGAGTTTAAGGCCAGGAGAGTGTCTGCCTGTATGAAACAAGTGTTCAATTTCTCTGGTATATTGAGCCAAATAACTTTCTTATTTGAATGAAGTGTAGTTATGATGCAACTGCAAAGCTGTAGTGTAAGAGCACTATTTTTATAGGCACTTGATGGCTATAACTACAGGCTGTTCCAGAAGCAGCTACTTTACTCTCTGATCCCATGTGATTTACATAATTTCACTTTTTTCATTTAAAAGCAAAATGGGCCCCTCTTACCTTTAGGGAGAAGCAGTGTATTCACATTTATATAAACACTTCTCAGTTAAGCCAAGATGTAACAAAAGGAAGAGGGGGGGAAATCTCATTAAGGAATTTTTTCTAGACCTAGATTGTGTAGCTGTCTGGACATGAAGACTTACAAGGGGCTAATTGCTCAAATCAACTGCACAGCAGTTGCTTTAATCAGTATTTCCACATGACAGAGTATGGTACTGCTGTAAGGTGCTTGGATACATCGATCTACCATCCAGTCTAATCATCATTAATCTCTGACCTTCCCTCTAGGCAAGAATGAGTGTATAGTAAATTGTTTATCATAGCATTTACACATAGTTAATAGAGTTGGGTCATGTTCCAAACCTGATAAAGTTTGTTTAATTTCTTATGGAAGGGAGTTCCAAAACCATGGACAGGGAGCTGAAAGCACCACCCTGGGAGTTGACAGTTCCATTGTTCCTGATCAGAACTGCCATAAAATCATGGTAACAAAGAGCCTGTCTTTGAGGAGTTTGGGTCTAGGCCTTTCAAGAAGCTTGAAGATCATGGCCAGAATCTTTAAATGTCTTGATACTCCAACTCTTATAAACCTATTTGGAAAGGTAGATCTGTTTGCAAAGCACTTGTCAAGTCAAAATGGTAATACAGCAAGCAAAGCAGGTACTTCATAGTCTCTCTGCAAAGTTTTGCCTACCTCATTGCCCAGATCTACCGTAGGGGAAGGGGTTTTTTTGGTTACAAGAGGATTGAAAATTCATTCAAAGCAATAGTACACAGTAGTCTTCTCTTGAGGCAAGCAGATGTTTTGTGAAAGTTAGGAGTGGCAGAACTCCTAACTGAGTTTATGCCTCAAACAGTTGGATTAAAAAGCAAGACCAGAAGGCAAGATGAGCTGGATTTTTCTTTTTGCAGGAAATTATGTAATTTTAAACTTCTGTGTTCCAAAATGGAACAAACATTTAAATTTCCCAAAAAACAAAAGTTCCAGAGCCTTCATTTTGGGTTGATTGAAATGTTTATCAAAACATTTTGTTCTGAGCTTAGCTGAGTTTTATTATAAAACACTTTTTTCTAAATTCAGTTGGACCATCACTCGAAAAACATTTAGCTTTCAACAAATTGACATTGATGGTAAAGCGTTCTGCTGGACAACTTCTAACCAGCTCTACAAAATGGTTTAATCAAAGTTGAAACTGAACGCCCAAAATTGGCAGACTAAATATATTAGAAATCAATATTTAAGTTAACTTCTCTCCCATGAAAATTCAATACAAAAATACTTTAGTGTACTGACCTCTCTACTTCTCTGCATTGTGAAGAATTATTATTACTAGACTTCCAGGCAAATTGGACTGCTCACTTTCAAAGGAAACCACCTTCTACTGGAAATACACAAGCTGGTCAACAGGTAACATGTTAAGAAACTAGCAATAACTTCTGTACTGTATCACATTTATAGAATACATGAATTAGAAATTGGGTAAATGAATCAGCTCTCTCTTCCCCCTCAACCCCCCACACTAGGAGCTAACATTGTAAGCCAACCCTGTTTAAAATTAGTTAAATACACACTGAAAAAAATTTAGTTTTATTTTAAAATGTTTTTCTAAAATTGATCAGGCTTCATTGCAAAAACATTTTGAACAAGAACAAAAATCAGTTCCCCACCCTGTCAAGTTCATAACTTCATTCAGGAAACCCAAAAAGTGAGTACAAATGATTTTAGGCAATATACAAAGCTGTTTAAAACCACAGTTCTGAGTAAATCTAATTTCTCTTGCCCCACTAGAAAAAGCTTTAGTTCTAAAATTCTTTTCTATACAGTTGACATAAGCCCCTTGCCTTTTACATTTTAAAAGATTACAGTTAAAATCCAAATCCTTCAAAAACCATTTAGAAAGTAAGTTATTTACAGATGATTCAATCCCCCATGTAATGCATGACCGTCATAAATTAATGTCCATCTTATTTTTTTAAGCTGTGTAATATTACCTAATGGCTGGAGAGTTGGGATAGATAATTTACCTTTTCACTAAAAACCAACTATGTACTGTCAAAGGCAATACATCCCAACTTTGTCCACATTTTTAGAGGTGGTGTCCTCTTGTCTCTCCCATTCCTCGTGTTTTTTCTTAAGTTTGTATAGCCTACCCCCAAACCATGAACACAAATGTATTGTGAGAGGAAAAGTTTCAGAAATGTAATATTTCTATGTCTGCCTTTGTTACTGTATAGAGGAGAACATTGCAATGCATTTCTTAGGACAACTTAAAGTTACATTATTCAGAAACTCTCAACTCTCGTAAGTGTATCTTGTCTATATGCATTCATTTATGTATAACAAAGGCCAGGTTTAATGCAGCTTCTGAGCACAGCCCTATTTATTGTATGGCAACTACCTTTATTTAAGATACAAAAAAATTGTGCTCAAATGATTATAGCCAGATTACTGGCACTGTGAGCTATGGCATACAGTTCGTAACTGAAAAGGAAATAAAGTGAATGAGTAGTGAGTGAAGCATCAGATTTCCCTGGCTGGCAGAGTATAACTTAAAGGCAGTGTGCAGTCCTTTGTACAATTTAGTCATGCCTACCACCTCTTCTCTCCTCTAATCTTGTTTTACTGTCTCCTATTCTGCATTAGTATCTGAACTGTTGATTTGGATTTGTTAAAGTTATAAAAATAGTCCTCTTGAACAAGCAGTTACAGGATACAAGCTGCTTTTCCCTTTGTCTGAAACACTGGACTATAGGATCCAAATCCCTGTAACCTACCCACTTTTATCAACCAGGATTTACAAGTGGAATCAAGGACAAAACCTCAGGGGTAGCTGAGAGTATGTGTGATACTAATTGTTTTAAAACAGCATGGTGGAGAACTATCTGTGATAGATGGTGTGGTGGACTTTCCCCACTTTAAACTCCTGCTTCAACAGGCACCTTGCAGTAACGAGAGACCAGTACTCCCAAAGCTTTCCTAATGGCACTAGGAGGTATTGTATGTTTGTTTACCACAATGAATACATTCAACATGTTACAATAAAAACATTGTACAATAACTGAGAAAGTATTCTGTTATGCATAATAAACTTCAATGTGTTCAAGTTTACTCATGGAGTCCCACATAAAAATGTCTTTAAATGCAATGGTGGATGGGTGAAGGAAGGAATATATATGGCACACCATTTTAGCCTTCCCTTAGACAGTGGTAGCTTCAAGTCAGTTTGGCAGAAACCAAATCCTCCTACTAAAATGAGTTGTAAAGCTAATCCACACCACCTTGCTAGCTTTGTGAATGCAGGTTCAGCCTCTTTGAAATGACCTCCCATGGGAACCATGCTATTCTTCTGTGGTGAAGAGAGATGATATTACAGGAGGGGGGAAAAGGCTATCCAAAAGTCCTGTAGTAGTTTGAGAGGGTCAGATCAACTATTCCAGCCTTTGTGACGATAAGGACTAAACATACCATTTACTGGGGGAGGATCAGTCTAAGTTTAGCATCTGAAGCACAGGTAGGGATTCAAAATATGATCTTAGAATTACTTTGTTTCCCCGACTTCATGCCATTGTTGTATGATTGTACAACTTAGCTGACTGTTTAAAAGTATTACAATTATTGCTAGCTCATTAAGGTTTTAAAACAGTAAAAAAAAAAAAAAGTTTGACAGAAGTCAGAACTGCTTTAAACCTCTGTAAGAAACAAAGTATTTTAACCATTGAAGCATAGTACTAAAACTTCACAACTGCAATCTACTTTATTTGGGACCCTTTTAAAGCCTTGAGATGGCAATCAAGCATTCTAGCTTCACCTGGATCTTTATGGTTGGATTTGTTTGCAGGTGATTGAGTCACACATGGTGTGCTTCCTTATTCACAGCCTCTGTCTCTCCTCTTCACCTTGATCAAATAAGTGGTTCTTCATATTCGGATCTTCAGGATTTTGGGCTACTAAGGGAGGAAAAAAGTGAAATTCTTAATACTGTAAGAGTTGGAATAATTGATTCCATTTGTAAGAGGTGGAACAACAGCAAGAGAAACAACGTCCTTACTGAAAGGATTGGATCACTGTAGAATAGTGCAATATCACAAGTATCCAGTTATGGTTTGCTTTTACATATACCATGAAACTGTACTGAGTGTCCAGTTCTCCTCTCTCATGTAAATGGGGAGTAACTTCACTGAAGTCTTATTGCACCAGAGTAAAATTGGTAATAGCAAAATCTGGCCCCGGCTATATTCAGAGCAAGCACAAAGGCATCAGAGTTAACTAAACTGATGAATAGAAAGCCAGTCGGTTTCATCCCTCCCAAAACCCTTTTAAGGGGACAGTTCTAAAAATACAGTATGCTGTGTACAAGGGGATTTAAAAAAAACAAAAAACAACTCAGGTTTTTACCATGAAAGTTATTTTCATTGCCTGTCAGTGCTGCTTGCTTGTCAGTTTCAGATTCAGCCTCATTTTCATCTAAGTTGTAGTCAACTGCTATGTTGTTCTGGTTCGCTGCTTCGGCTCCCTGTTTATCTATAAAGATATTTAGTTTCATTAGTTAGTGGCCAAAAACCTGCTACAGCTGCAGTAGAGCACTGTTGCTAGAAAAACAGTCTCCCTCATACTCCAACTCTACAACAGGTAGAATTTATCTTAAACCTTTGAAATTTGATTACCCTCTGCTTAGAGGTTCAGTTCTCAGCTATTCTTATTTGCTGCAGTTGCCTATCCAATTTCAGAACTAAGTTTGCTATAACCCTTGTATATAGAAGGCTTGATAACATGAGATATGTAGGGCTGGAAGGGACCTTCAAGAGGTCATCTAACCATCGCCCCTACTGAGAAGCAGAAATGCATACACCAAGACCATGCCTGATGACATATTTGTCTAATTTGTTCTTAAAGCTCCAAATGACAAGGATTCCATCACCTCCCTAGATAACCTGCTTCAGTAATTAACTATCCTTATAGTTAGATATTAAGAAAAACACTCCAACTTAATCTCCCTTGCTGCAAATCTGTCCAATGGACAGATTAAAATTCCCATACCCCAGGATGCTAAACAAGTCAATGTTCAGCGGAATAGGAAGAGCAAGTGTTAGCAAAAGGTTACAGAAAGAAATGGTAAATGGCAACCAAAGAAGGATAAACTGAACAAAAACAGTAGTAGCTATTAGTGGCATCTGCAAAGGAAAAGAATAATGAATAGCTTCCTTTGTTCAGCAAGATGTTTCAAACAAGCCCCAGGAACACAGGACTTCAGGATTCACAATGGTAGTCCACATATGACAGTCTTGCAAGCCTGTTTGTCTAATGATGTGGGACAAATAACTAGTTTGGTAGGTAAGTAACAATTAGTTTTATCATAGCAAGTGTGGGCAAGGAGATTTTGTGCTTATGCAGGTAAATTTTCATGACAGTTCTGAAAGACTGATATGAAGAGCAAGTGTTGTATATAAAGTTAGCCTAACTACATGTATCACATTCAAGGAGTATAAAAGACTGTAATGAAGTTCAGAAAACTAATCTTGGGCTTCTTACTTTCACTTTGCTTTATCTGCAAGAGAATATGTGCTAGTACCTGGAAAGCAGAGAACTGGTTTGCAGCAAAACTGGGAGTGGGGGATTCTTTTCATTTTGCTACAATCAGACAATCTTCATTTTCTGGCCTGTGTGAACTTTTCTGCACCATCCTGTTGCCTGTGTGCTTTTGATTTGTACTTTAGATGAAATTCCAGATATAGCTGAGAATGTTGTCACTAAGACTGCACCACTAGCCCGATGACTGTAGCTAGAAGTTTTGATGTACTTATAAAGCTCTGTTCACATTAGACATTTGTGCCAGTATTGTAATGTCAGGGGAGTGATTGGTTTTTTTAAATTACATTTCTATACCAACAAAGCCTTAATGTAGATGCAGGTATACCAGGATGAAAGTGCATTTGGTAGTATTGCTTATTTGGCCTGAGGACTGGTATAAACTATATTCAGCAAAAGCTATATCAACACTAGGAATGTGTGTCAGTACAGTGTTACCAGCAAACCTTTTCTAGTGTATCCCTGGGCTATAATTGAAGCCAAAGATTCATGTCTGCTTAAAAACATACTACTTGCTAAATGTTTCAGCCTTTGGGCTTAATCCTGCAAGATTCTGAAAGCATCAATGAAAGCTGAGGGTATGCGCCATCTACAGGAGACTCAATGAGTCACAGAATCAAACCCATAGAAAGGACAGAGCCTAAGGACAGTTACTATATAGGCAGGAGAAACTGAGTGATCTGGCTGGTAAACACTGAGCCGTGAACTAAAACATAATGGCTCTAGTTCACCAGGCGTGAAGTAATGCAGAGTAAATTCAAACTGCTTTGTCTCCAGGTACATATATAGTAGTGCAAGTCTGCCAAGTCAAGTCCAACAGAAATATTACTGTTTAAAAGAATTTCCTTTTAATTTATTAAAAACAGCAGAGTGGTGGTGTTTTTTTGCCAAATCAACAAAAACATTTCACCCCCACCCCTCACTATAGCTTTATTTTAATAGGTCAAATCCTATTAGAATTACTCATAAGGAGTCTGATGTCAATGGACGTGCTCGTGTAGGTAAAAGAGCAAGAGATGGCCCAACATCTGTACCAAACAGGCAGGACAGCTGATCCCAGTGGAGATTTGGACCCAAACCACTCCAGAATACAACTAAAAAGCATAAGAGCTGGAAACAAATTCCAGCTTCCACCCACAGAGCAAGGAAAGCAGGGAACTTGTCTCTGAGCACCAGTCTCTCACATGACAGACCACTGCATTGTGACATAAGCCACTTGGCAGCTAGATAGCCTGAGTGAGTCTTTGTACTAACCATCCTGATTGGGCTCCTGGTCATCCGGCTGAGCATCATAATTTAAGAGGTGCTCCCGCTCCACTTCTTCATTGGCAGCATTTTCTTGATTGACAGCATGGCCTGCAGGTGGTTCTTGCATTTTGACAGACTCCCTTTCTGCATCACCTTCTTTAGGAACATTTACCCCCTCATAGGGATTCGGTTCCTTTCCTAGTTCAGGAGATAATTCCTCATGATCCATGGCACTCTTGGCTGAATCGTGTGGGGGTCCTTGATCAACAAAAAGCTTCTCATCTTCTGTTTTAGGCTCCTCTTTGTTCACCGCAACCAGATCACGTGTCCCTTCTGAAAAGCAATGTAATCATAGTTTGTGCACTAAGCAGAGTTTTGACCCTAGCAAAGCTTAAGCCTTTAAAAAGCTAGAACAGAATCAACTGCCCTCTGCCCACCCACGTTCAGTTTTTTTCCTGTGCAGGGACATCTCTTTAAGCTGCATCAACTCCAAAGGATGTATAGGCATAAATCAGGGTACCCTAAGTTAAAGGTTCTATTAGAAACCACTGCAGGATTTCTATTTCATAAGGGGTTTAAAGTCTGCATTGTCTTTGTTTTATGGTAAATAGGGAAAAAGTCTGAATCCCTTTCAGGTTATAGTGAGATCAATTAATAATTGGACATGCAAAGTAGAACTATTTAAATACAGAGTTTTAATGTTCTATGTAAATGCCTATTCTCACAGCATTAAAAGTGTAAAAAGCTTATTTGTGTGTGTGTGCGCACACTACACTGTTAGCAATGCAACTGGCTTTAAACAGAGTCAGCCTACTACAAGGTTCACCAGATGTGAGTTCTACAAATAGCCTGTAGCTGCTTTTGTCTTTAATATGGAGATACAGCTCAGGGACACTACTGGTCCCAGCATACACTGCTGCGTCATTTTCGCCATGTAGCTGTATTCTTACAGCGTTTTGAGATACAATTCACAAGAAGATCCTTATAAAAAAAGTCACATTGAAATACTAGCTCTCTAGAATGAGACCTGCAATATGCTCAGAGTTGTATTTTAAGAAAATATGGTAAAAAAAATTTACAAGGAAATTGAATTTCAAACGTATATGATGCTAAGCTGAGAATGTGGCAACCATTCATTCATTCATATTCATAGAGTTTAAGGCCAGTAGGGACCATTAGATCATCTAGTTTAAACTCCTTTATATCACAGGCCCTTAAATTTCATCCAGTTACTTCTGTGTTGAGCCCAATAACTTGTGTTTGATTAAAGGATAACTTCCAGCGGTTGCAGGAGGGTCACACCTACTAAAAACAAACTAATGTGTTAGGCTATTAAAGTCAAGTCCTTGTTTCAGAAGGTCTTCAGAAAAGAGAGCGCCTTTTCCATAGCAAATTAGGGATACTAATTTAGGCCTGCCAAACATAACATTGTCCTGTTACTTGCAGTGTACACCTAGGGCTAGATTCACAAAGATTAGGCAACTCATTGCCACTTCAGATGTCTAAATCCAAAATTTAGATCCTCAGAAACTCAGCTGCCACCTAACCTGTGGGAGATCCAGGTTCAAATCCCCCTCTGCCCAATGTGAAGCATGGACTTAAACACAGATTTCCCCCTTCTCAAGTGAGTGCCCTAACCACTGGGCTAGCGGGTAGGTCTCAATCTTTTTCCTACTGAAGCGGGTATGCAATAGAGCAGGGACAGGAACCTGGGTCTCCCAGAAGAGTGCACTAATCACTAGGCTACAGAGTCACTCATTCTTTCTCTGACCCACCACCACTGTTTTTTGCAGGAAAGGCTCCTAAGTCTGGTCAGTCCTAACTCCAAGAGAGGGTTCACAACTGTGACTCCCAAGTGGAGATAGGTGCCTCTATCTGGTCCAGAGTTGGGCGCTTAAGTCCTTTTAAGGAGCAAGGCTAGTCCCTGCACCTCTCCTCAGTATTGCCTATCTTAGGCAGCTCCCCACTTAGCTTGCCGGCTTTTGTGGATCCCATTCTTAGGCATCTAACTCTTCCCATACATCGTATAGGGAGCCTGGGTGCCTAAAGTTAGGTGTTTCAATGCTGAGCCCAAGTCCTCTTTGTGGATGTAGCCGCCACCACTACTTGAACATATTTTTCAGCCAATGGAAGTATTTTAATTAAAAAAAAATATTTTGACAGACATTAGCTATTAACTATAACTTTCCATAAGCACAGAAAAAATACAATGTCAATCTGCTGAACTAAGTTGTATCCAATTTTTTCTACATGTAATTAAATTAAAATTAAATTTTTATGTTGAATTAAATTAGAATGAAAATACATTTAATTAAATTAAAACACCATTTAAAATAAAAATGGTGAGAAGCCATTTCTCACCTCAGTTGCTATTAAGGTGTTAGTGATGTAAATAGCCAATCTTACCTTTGTCTTCATGAGACTCAATCTCTGGTACCTTTTTTACACTGGGTGTTGGCTTTGATGCTTCTAGAGCTACGTTTCCAGGAATTTTGTTCTTCTCTTGCTCCTCATCTCCTTTCTGCTCTTCCAGGTCATGCAGCTGGAGCTCTGGTCGATTAAAAGTTGGCAGCTGAATATTACCCTTAAAAGTATATACAGACATATGTGATTTGTCCATCCAAATGCTTATTCCTATGCTCTGATTTATATTTCATTTTTAACCCTGACTAGAGAAATCTAAATGCTCCAAAACCAATTCAAGAAATAGACTTGAACTGAAATCTTCATTGGAGTCCGAAGTAAAACACAACCCCGATAAACAGGCAGCACAGTTTCCACACACAGTACACCAACAGAACAGTTTGATATAATGCCTCTTCCTGTACTACTCCACCCAATACCATCAGATTCAGTAATTGCTATGCATAGTGCATCAGGGGCTATTGTTCTCTGAAGCAACGTTTCCGAGCGTGAAGGACATGTCCCTCTGGAGCACCAAGAAATAGTTTTGGATACAGAACAGAGGCAGTGCAACTTGCCCCCAGGCTGCCCTGCTGGGCTCGAGGAGCTACTACTGTTTTTCTCAAGGAGGGCTCAGCTTTCAATAAGTTTTGAAAACACTAATTTATGGCAGCCTAATTCAGATACATGAATTAGTTCAATTTGGACTGTTCTGATGTTACCAGTTCGGAGTCCTGCCCTTCTCCTCTGCACTCAGTGCACATATTTTTGTTGTTTACTTGTCGTAATGCCTGATCACAAGTTTATCCAAGCCTTATGCCAGAGAGTGGGTGAGTGGCAAACATGGGTTTAGATGGACATCTTGTAAACCCCTAAATGCCATCTCCTACAAAAAAGTATTGTAATCCTTCCTCCACCTCATTGGCACCATCTGCTTCTTTATCATACCTGTTGACAGAGGAAAGCCAAAATAATATCCTAAGAGTGACCACCACCAGGACTGTTCACAAAGGCAGATGGCAGCTAACAAGTGTGGGTTTAGTACAGCAAATATTTTACAAAGCCAGAGACAACTTCGGCTATCACAACTTGCTACAGCATGAGTGTTCATTGATACAGAGACTGTGTGCACAAGTAACCACATAGCAGACATCAGCATCAGATGACAAGGTGAATCAGTCACTAAGAAACGTCAGCTGAGCTCCAACTGTGGTATACAGAATATGGAACAGTCCAGTTTATTCAGGGGTGAAAGTAAGTCCAGTGACTTACCGGTATGCTGGGGCCAGCTCTGGCCCCCGGAACGGGCGGGGCCTAGGGTGAAAGGGGCATGGCTGAGGGAGTCAGAGCCAGCCCCAGCCCACCCTGTAAGGTAAGTGCCCCCCCCCCCCCCGGTAGCAGCAGCAGCCCAGGACTCCGGGGGGTATTTAAAGGGGCCGGGGCGCCCCTGCTTCTACCGCCCCGGCCCTGGAAAGGGGGGGGGGGGCCCGGGGGGGGCGGGGGGGGGGCGGCTTCCCCAGGGGGCTATTTAAAGGGCCGGGGCGGTAGAAGCAGCGGGAGCCCTGGACTTTTTAAATAGCAGCCAGAGCCCCGCAGCCCTACCCCAGGGCTCCAGCAGTGGGGCTCTGGTGGCAATTTAAAGGGCCTGGGGCTCCAGCCCCTGCTGGGCGCCCCAGGCCCTTTAAATTGCCCCCTGGGGAAGCCTGGCCGCCCCGGTACTGCAAACCGTCTCTTGCCGGTATGCCATACTGGGGCGTACCGGCTTACTTTCACCTCTGCCCCCTAAAGATTCAAATAAAATCATTCTGAGATCTCAGATAAAGTGGTTTCAGATGAAAGGAGGAAGCGGGCGGCCTCGCTATAAAGAAGCAACTCTGGTCCACCAATTCAGGAGTGCAGCAAAAGGAATTACAATTGGCTGGCTCTACAGGGGCATGCACCAAGAATCCCCAGGATGTAGGTACCCCAGGATTATGAGAACCAAGCTTCAGTTAAACAGGCTTCACTGTAATGCAATGGAACTAGGCTAAATATAGTATCAAGAAAAGTTCTTAACAGTGAAATCTGTTAAACTGTCATAGTCTCCCCCAGCTAAGCTAAGCAAAGCAAGTGCCATCACTGATTAATTTACAAGTAGACTAGAGATAGAACACTAGAGCATATACCAGGAAACCCTTACTCTAGTGAACTGCTTAAAGTTTAATGGGTGTAAAAGAATATCAGCTTAAAGATCTGCCACTTTAGAAATTCAGCCATTGAAATTTTAGGGGCAACAAACCTTACACCTATGAGCATTTTACTGGCTAAATGCTAAGCTAGTTTGCTTTTACAAGCATAAAACTGAGCAGCACTTAAAGTTCTGCTGTACTATATCAACTTCTTGCAACTTGAAAACTAGGCTGTAATAAAGCTATTACTTCTCTGTACTTGTTTACAATGTATGCAGCAGAAGAACAATTCTACATAAGCTCACAGAAGCCAGGGAGCATATAAAATATTTTATATGCACAGTACATAAAATTGTCAATACCAACAAATAGGAACCCGACAGTGTAGAAAATCACATGCACCATGCACAAAAAAGTTTCCTGTCTGAGCTTCAGTAAAGCTAGAGATGAACAAATACTGCAATAAAGTATTTACAAACAATGGCTGAATAAAACACACAAATTCACTTGGATGGTATTTGCACCTTTGTGTATTACACAAACATTTGTACAGCAATTTGTTTTCAAGAATGTCTGGGGGGGGGGGGAAAGAAAGGGGGAAAATCTTAAATAACTATGGAAATGTTTGTTAAGGCTTTCCAATTTCAGTCAAAGTCAGGGCTTTGACTTGGGTGACCAAGCACAGCACAAAGAGCAAACACTCAAACCATTCATTTACTGAATAGTACAGAAGTAATCCATAGGATTAAATAGGTTTGCACAAAATATGTGAACAATTTTTAACAATGAATAATTGCCAAACAAAAAAAAGGCTAAACTTGAATACATTTATTTGTGGTGCATAGTTGACATTCAACTTTCTAGATAACTAAATTGGAGACTTTTCAGGCTCAACACAAACCATTTTTCATTCCTCAGGTTACTTTATAAAATGAAACTGCAACACAAAAATCCTTTAAAGGTACAATTAATGGCAAATTTGCTTTATAACATATAACTCTAAAGCTTGTTTTTTAAACTTGTGTTTTAATTTTAATGTATGAAATGCCATGCACTGTCAGGATCCTGCCTCCTCCAGCAGCAGCTGCTCTTCCCACCCTCCTGGTGGCAGAGGCCGATCGGGGTTACTGTGGTAACTGGACTTTTGATGGTCCAGCCAGCAGCACTGATCGGACACTGCACAGGTCCCCTTTCAACTGGGGTTTCCCGTCAAAAACCGGACACCTGACAACCCTAGATAAGCCTCACTCTGACAACAGAGGTCAAGCTGCAACTTCCTCATTTATTATCAGAAAAACTAACCTCCCAAGCTTAACAGGATCATCTAGTACGTTAAAAATCATGAGAATCTGTTGCTATTTTATATGTTAAATGATCAAAGAGTAGCACCCTATCGCAGAAAGCAACATAGAACAGCTCCATTGACATCTTAAATAATGGTACAACTGAGTTTCTGCCAAAAAACCAAAACACATGCTTACCTGGTAGTTTTTGTTGGAATTTTTCAACAATTCTTTGATTTCCTTGGCCTGTGGTGCCTCACTGCCTTTTTTTGTGATCTCATCTATTCTTTCTTCACATTGTTCTTTTAACTCTTTCATCTGACTGATGCACTGGGACCTTGAGGGAAAGAACAAGTAGCTTATAGAGGTACTGTCATCCGAACATCTCTAACAGACACAAAAAAAATAATCTCACAAAAGGTGCATATCTTTCCTTTTTCCATTTTGCTGATTTCCTAGTCCTACATTTGCATAGTTTGAAAAAACAACAACAGAGAAATAGGAGGTGGGGCTAGAATCATCTGAGGGGATGATTTCATTTAAATTAATATAACAGTGCCCATACAGAAGCATTTTGTATTAGATATAAATTACCATTAGAAAAAACAATGTTATTTCAAAATGTGCCTCATTTATTTTGTGCCTTTCTTAGTTCTTTACTGAAATGCCACTGCAGCAAGTGCCAAGAAAATGGAGGTGAACACTTTTAAAAGAGAAAGCCATGTTGCAAATAGCTCAGCTGGCATGTGACTTCTCAAGATGGATGGGGGAAATTACACATTTCAAGTACTAGTTGTAAGCCTTTAGGTATTAATTCTGCATAGAAACAGTTGGACTGATGATGTTCCCCTGAATTAATGGAATATTAGGAGGTAGCTGATAGCTTCTCCCCATGCCTGCTGCATGAATGTAAGTTAATTTAGCAGAGCTAGAGAAGTGCTTTAGTTTATTGTGTTGGTGGGCTCAGAACAGTTCCACACACGGGCCCAAGAAGGATAGACAACTTTGCCCACAATAAACTGCAAATCAATTGCTAATGTGGCTCAGTTTAGTGCACCACTGAGAACCAGGGGATATGTCCCCAAAAGTTCTAGTGCCTCACCCAGGTTGCTGCAACACCTGTGTAGACATGGCAACACAGGTATGACTCAAGTATGGCTTTGCAGTGTGGAGACTCACAGAGGGGCTTGGCTATCTCACGTAAACTCTGCAGTGAAGACATATCCCAAGTGAGCAGGTAATTTGTTTTTAATGCAAGAGTCAAAGAGGCACTTACTTCACCTCTAGAAAGGAAAGGAATAGGTAGACAGATGTGCTGTTGAATGTCAAGTTAGTGACCTTTGCTAATATTTTGTTTGTGCTGCACCAGGAGAGTTTTGGCTGTTCAAAAACAAGATTTGGCTGACTAACTTCTAAATGTAAGAAAGTCATCTAACTAAAGGAAACACCTAAAATTAGCAAGAGTGAACACCACAGACTGTAGAAAAACTGAGCACAGGCATGAGTTATATTAATATTAGTTTCTTAACTCCTGGGGGAGATAAGGAGATCTAAAATTGTCTTTATGTAATGTGGGAGATTTTGAGAATCTTCTGGGAGGGTGCTAACTGTGGCCTACAATGACTTGCTTCACTCTCCATTTTATGTGTGCTTACATACTGCATGTGCTAATAAAGCCAACTCATGTAAGCACTTAGTTTTGATTGTTGTTGCTGTAGAAGAATTTTTTTTTGCGAAAGGTTGCAGATCAGCAATTCTGGAGATTAAAATCCTCTGTTCATGCACATGACAGGTAATGTGCACATATCAGCAGGGCAAGCTTCTCCACATTGTTGGGGGCGATCAATGTGCCCCATCCACACCTGGAAAATCTACCACTCATAAATTCAGTCCTCCTGGCCTGGTCAACGATTGACCTCTCTGCCAATTCTAAATAAAATGTGCCAATTACAGCAGCATGTTTGCTGTACAGAGAGCTGCACTGGCCACTAGGAACTAGACTCAGACCAGCAACTCATTTCATATAGGCCACCAGAGAGCCACCGGGTCATAATGATTTTTCACTTACTAGAGCTGCAGAGATTGAACAAAATATTGAACTCTTCATTTTAAGAACAGATTAGAAGAATATGCAACTGAACATTCAGATAAGAATTCAAGAGAACAAAAGTATTTTTTATTTTTTTATTTAAAAGGAATGTACAAAGTCCTGCTTCTCCAAACACAGGAGGAACCAAGCACAAAAGACGCAGTTTCTTAGCTTACAGTCTCAATCAAGCCTCTTTGGCCAACACCAGACCCAAAACCAAAAGCTCTCTCTAGCTTTTTCCAGGGTCACACAATGCTCACAAGGCTATTTCTTGGTTTTCTGTTTTACTTCTGCCTCTCTCTTTTGTCTTGTTGGTTCTCAGTTTGTGTAGGTTTTGCCTTCCCTCACTCTCACACACACACACACACACACACACACACACACACCCTGTCACAATACCCAGTGGAACCCTTCCCCAACCTGGACAGAATCTGTTAGGCTCTGTTTTACACGTGGCTCCTTAAGTGTTTCTTACAAAGATGGGCACATTCACACATCAGTTCGAATGAGGTTTTAACCTCAACCCATACCAAGATTTCATCCAGCTCGTAACTAGGGCCCTACCAAATTCACAGTCCATTTTGGTCAGGTTCATGGTCACAGGATTTTAAAAATCGTAAATTTCATGATTTCAGCTATATGAATCTGAAATTTCACAGTCTTGTAATTGTAGGGGTCCTGACCCCAAAAAGGAATTGCAGGGCGGGGGGTGTCACAAGGTTAGTGTAGGGGGGGTTGCGGTACTGCTATCCTTACTTCTGCACTGCTGCTGGTGGCGGTGCTGCTGTGACGTTATGAGTGTAATATAATATTTCATTGAAAGGTGACAGGGCCAGAAAGAGTTAATTAACTCACAGACTGACCTGACCCATGGCCGAACTTTAGAGACTGTTTAGGAAGATAGGTAAATGAACAGAGCTTTGAAATGCAAGTCTGCATTGTTAGAGATAGAAGGGTAGATGTTTGCTCAGGTCTTGTGATGTAAGCAAACAAGTCTTGTCTATTGCTATAGCTTTAATTCAAAGATCAGAAAGGGAATATTAACATTTATGATGACACTTGAGAATGAAATAGTTTATATGTCTCTTTGAAGGTTGTGGTAACCTGTATCTGAACTGTTTAATGGATAAATTATCCTGTGCTAATTGCCATGATGTTTGGGAGAAGGAAAGTTAAGCCTATTGTTTTCTCAGGCCCAAAGGCTGCAGGAAATGTATAAAAATCTTGGGACACGATCCTTCTTCATCTCAGATCTGCTTTGGGTTTCAAGAGGGGGAAACCTTAAGCCATAAGGATTGAGATCCCCAGTCATTGACTGGAGCCACCCTGAGTATGGACATTGGACTATAACCTATGGACTATTTCTAAAAGGACTTTTGGCAACTACAAACTCATCTCTGCTATGTATCTGGACCTCAATAATTGAATTCAAGTCGGTATGTATATTGATCTTTTAACTTCTTTTCTTTTTTAATAAATTTTAGCTTAGTTAATAAGAATTGGCTATAAGTGTGTATTTTGGGTAAGATCCAAGTTATAATTGGACCTGGGTATGTGGCTGATCCTTTGGGGTTGGAAGAACCTTTCTTTTATATGATGAGATAAGATTTTCAGTAATCATCGTCATATCTGACATGTGTGTCTGGATGGAGGCCTAAGGCTGGGCACTTTAAGGAAACTGCATTATTTGGACTTCTGAGTAACCAGTGAAATACTATAGAAGCTGTTTTATGCCGGCTTGGTAAATCTAAGTATTGGAATATTCACCAGCGTTTGGGGTTTGCTTGCCCCGTTCTGTTTGCAGTTCACCCTGATTGAGTGACCTCAGCTGGCTCAGATAATTTTAGAGTAAACCAGATTAACTAATAGAAACAAATAGGTCTGCTGCAGATTTTCCTGCTCTTACTTTTCTTATAACAAAACATTCAACTGGCATATAGTCCAAATAATCGTTACTCAATGCCTTGTAATTCTGAGTGTAGCAGAAGTACCCTGCTGCATCTTGAGAAGTCAGTACATCAAACAGAACTATCACACTGAATCACAAGCACATGGAATATACACTCTTTGTTCTTAGGAGTTTACTCTATGTGAAAGTGTTTGCATTCCTATCAAGGTGAAAGGTGAGCTTAATTACTGATCATGACTAATTCCAAGAGGAGGAAATGAGAGACACTCTACTGAATAAAGAGCATTTTAACCTGCTGCCAATATACAGCAATGCAGACAACAAAGACTCTTTCATTTTGTGGGCATGAAACCACATTTCTGAATTGCAATTTGCTAAGAACATAAGAACTGCTAGAAGAGCTCCTACTCTCATTCCTAGATGTAACAAATTCTTCTGAATGACTAGGTTGTGCTAAGGCTTTAACGAACAGTTTCCCTCCTAAAAGACAGTAGTATGTTTCCCACAAGATTCAGAACCAAATCTGTTAGAGACTACTATAATAATTGATTTTCTCAATGTCTTCTAATTTAACATACACAATTCAGAGCTGTAGCATTGCTGTCTGTATTGGAATATCTTTTTTTTAAACAAGACAATTTATTCCCGGTCATGCTTCTGAGTAATTTTTGAATTTATTTCTAATTTTAACCCATTTTCTGGTACTGAATGATACTACCCCTCCTCATTTTCTCCCCTCACTAAACTTAAATTGAACTCATGGAGGATTAGCAGTTCTCAACAGCAGACATGTAGGCACAGTGAAACTGCCCTCTCTTTAATCACCACCACCTCATGTTTATTTCATTATCACACACCATAGACCACACTATGCTAACAGCAATGTTTGGTTTTACTGCTCTTAAAATGAATTAGAAGATATTATTTATTTCCTCAAGAGTAAATAACACTGTGAAGATCTTTTTATGTTTGCCAACAAAGTAATTACTTCTTCAAAAGGCTCGATACACAAATAAGATGGAAAATGATAATTCCTAAGCCTTTAGAATGTCTACGTCACAAGTTCTCTCTCCCTCTCTCTCCATACACATTTTAAAAGTGTGACTTGCCCTCTACTGAGCACACTTATGTATACATTTCTATGACTAATGAAATACAAAGTGCAATGCAGCGTTAAGGCGACAGTAAAAAGAAAGCACAACAGGTAATATAAAAAGTTAACAGCAACATTAAGTCTGACACATTATACTGCCTGTGAAATGTGCCATAAAATCATGAAAAGTATTTTCTATAGCTATAAAAATAAGAAACGTATGAATAGAAACTATGTACATCTGTACAATGCAACTTATGCAGTTATGGAAACAATTTCTGCCTTTCTTGACTGAGATTATAATTGGGCAACCATAAACCCAGAATATCCCCCGCACAGGTAGCCCATGGGAGGAGTCTCAGAAGGAGGAAAGCTCCATAGGGATTCCGCACAGCTACCCCTGTTGGGGAGCTGGAATTGCACTATCAGAAAAAGTCATGTTTCCTAACCCCTTCACTCCCACCCTTAAAACATGCCTGATCCCCAGAAGCCACTCAGAGGCCCTAAACATCCACAAGTGTTCTGACCCCCACCAACCTGGAAGCATGGATTCATTGGTGCCACACTACCAGGTCTTCAACCTGGGCTAGGCTATTGTGTAATATATCCCTGACACCTAGTCTATACAGCACACAATACTCTCTGAAGAGCCTTGGGTAAGGAGAGGGAGAGGGTTATGGGTGGATGGTGCCTGAGGCCCACTCCGTAATAAAAGGGGGAGTTTTGTGCATAGATTGCCTCCTGTGTGTGAAGATCTGGCTCATTAACATTAAAGACATCCCATTTAGGGTTTGGTATAAAACTGCTCTTGCAGGTCTCAGCCTTCCATGGGAATTTCTGGCAAATAACTGATTTTCGCTGCCTCCAGTCCTGCGTCTAGCAGAGGATTATGCAGCAGAGGCTCAAAATACATGATTCTGTCCTCCACTTCCACACCTTAAACATGCCAAGGGGTACATTTGGCCATCTGTTGGGTTCAACAAATTTAGAAAACCAGGTTACGTGTACAAGACCCATAAGGGGGGGGAGGAATAGCTCATTGGTTTGAGCATTGGCCTGCTAAACCCAGGGTTGTAAATTCAATCCCTGGGGGGGCCATTTAGGGATCTGTGGCAAAAATCTGTCTGGGGATTGGTCCTGTTTTGAACAGGGGGTTGGACTAGATGACCTCCTGAGGTCCCTTCCAACCCTGACATTCTATGATTCTAAGGTTTCAATTTCATAAGGTCAGCAGTTACCTAAGTAAACAGGGTGAATCATCAGGAAGTCAGTTGCTCTACAATTTAAACAAAGTCTACAAAGTTTACTAACGTGTCACCTGTCTTTTTCCATATATACAAGAAACAAGGTCAATTGTTTCACAGGTATTTTCATTTGAGACCATCTGACAATTAACCTTAAGCACAAATTCTCTGGAGCTAGAAGTCTGAAGACCCATACCTAACATGCAATTCAAAATAAACTAAACAAAGCCTAGTAATGTATAACTATTTGAAAGGTAACTCGAATATGGGGCCTAATCTTGTGCAGAAGGTGCTCCACATACTAAATATCAGTTCTCAAGCCACAATTTACAAATGTATTGAGTACAATCAGCAGAACGAAACAAAACAGAGACTGATCCTTCAGTTCTAAAGCAGGCAAAATTCATATTGACTTCGAGTTGGTATAAAAACAGCAGGATCAGGTCCATAATAGCAAAAATTTTCTTCTTGGTGACAGTTGTCAAGATTTATCAGAAACCAAAGTAAGCTACTACTTATATAGGGCCTGACTTTTTCATTCCATTGCTGTGGAAGTACCAGTCCTGCCAGCATAGGAAGCACAAGTTAACTTGCTGCTAACTGAGTAGAGAGCCATAATAATTATAAGAATGCAAGCAAAGAAAGTTGCATTGGTTCATCCTTCACAAGATACAGAGAAAGGAACATCAATGTTAGCAAGAAAGGGAAAAAAACAGAACTCATAATTAGTACAGGAAATAGTATTTTCAAACAGCTTCAGTAGGAGGGAATAACTCCTAGTGAGTACATAGAAGTGTTAAGGGTTATTGAAGTTCTTACCAGTATCCCTGCACATATACTTTGTTATTCACACCTTACAATGCTTCAAGAGTACCTATTTCCATTGCTGTTTAGGGCACAGTGAAATCAACACCTTAACCACGGCTTCCCATACTGGCAGATATCCACCTACCTCAAATTCATCTAAAAAAATTCTTCAAAAGTTCCATCATATTTGAGTTAACAAGGACCTTTCAATACATTAAGTCCTTATATAATTTACTGAGATTCCAACTCAACTCCAGAAAACCTTTCTGGTTTGCAGCACAAGAGCTTGAAGATTTGGGGTTTTCCCCTGAAGATCAATAGCAAGCAAGCTGGAAGGACACTACCTGCCAAATAAACACCTCAAGGACCCAAATGAAAAACCCAGGGGCTTTTCACTTCTGTGGAAAACATGTCCACTTCGAATCGCATCCACACATCACATGGCAGATGCTCTTACCTCCTCCATAGGGGGGACTGAGACACCATCCTATTTCTGACTGTGGAAATTGACTTCAAACTATGGAGCACCTCATCCATCAGTGTCCCAAACAATCCACATCCCAGTGGCATCTCAGCAATACACTCTGTCACCTGAAGCAATCAATTAGATTGCTGACCTAGACGTGGACATCTAACATTGCTGTTTTTAGCCATACAAAAGAAGATGATGACGACAACTTCAGGAAACATAACAAAAATCTGATTAAAGCCCTGGCTGGGACTTGGAAGATCTGTGTTCAAATTCTGGCCCTCCCACAGACTTCTTGTGTGACCTTGGCAAGTCACTTAGTCTCTCTGTGCCTCAGTTCCTTATCTGTAAAGTGGGGATAATTGTACTTCCCTGTCTGCCAGGAGAACTGAGAGGAACACAAGTCAGAAATGTTTGTGAAGTGATCCAATACTATGGTGATGGGAGCCACAAGTACTCACACAAATGAGCAGAAACCAATCAGGACCATAGCTGGTATAGTATTTTCCTTTTCTGAAAATGCGATCTAGTCTCAAAATATCTACTAGCCGCATTTATATTTTAAAACTGTTAACTATGGGGAAAAGTGCAGTATTCAAGTACAGGTTTCAAAAGAATAATTTGACTTATGACCTTTCATTCTGTCAGTCATGTATTTAAAAGAACAAACTTACATATCATAGGAAAATTTCTTCTGAAGGTTAGTCTGGTTTTTCTGAAACTGGTACACATCCAGTTGTAGCTTTCCGTATTCCTTCTGTAACTTTATCAAGTGTTCTAGGCCAAAAGAGGATTATTATTTTTAATGGAATATTATATTAAGATCAACAAATCCCTCCCTCCAAAATCAAAGATGCAAATTTGACAGTGAGAAAGCTCTATTGGCTACTTTTCTCAGTCTCCCAAATTCATGATACTTTGGTAGATCAAATACAGTCACATTGTGGCACCTGCTCAGCAGCAAAAACACAGAGGACGTGGGAGGGTTTTCTGCCTCCTCTCCTCCAAAGGGAGAGGTCTAACTCATCGATATTCTCTGGATGCTCTTGGCTTGCAACCTAGCAGACTAGAGGTCACTGAAGGACTAGTCCAGGGGTCGGCAACGTTCGGCACGCGGCTCGCCAGGGTAAGCACCCTGGCGGGCCGGGCCAGTTTTATTTACCTGCTGACGCGGCAGGTTCGGCCAATCGCGGCCCCCACTGGCCGCGGTTCGCTGTCCCGGGCCAATGGGGGCAGCGAGAAGTGGCGCGGGCGAGCGATGTGCTGGCCGCAGCTTCTCACCACCCCCATTGGCCCGGGACGGCGAACCGCGGCCAGTGGGGGCCGCGATCGGCCGAACCTGCCGCGTCAGCAGGTAAATAAAACTGGCCCGGCCCGCCAGGGTGCTTACCCTGGTGAGCCGCGTGCCGAACGTTGCCGACCCCTGGACTAGTCACTATAGTGCAGGCTACAATGGTAAATTTTCCTACTACTATCTAAATTCAAGTTTACAACTCACTGTGATGTTCTGTACTTCGTGGGAACACCCTACACTCCCATGTTCATCCTTATAATAGGATTGTGTGGTATCTAATGCAAAGTTTGTCTTCGGAAGGCTCCTGATGCACTGAGCATTGTTGTTATAGTGATGTTATAGTAATTGTTGTTACAGTAATGTTATAAGTTATAATTTCATGTATATAGTTATCAGGCTGAAAATGTATCCTCATGGCTTAAAGCAAGCCCAGGCAAAAACTCTCTAAGAGCAGAAGGGCAGTTCACACCTCATCAAGGCATGTATGGGACAAACCCAGCCCAGCCTCACAGGAACAAAGGATGCTGGCCTAGGCAGCAGCAAAGGATCTGTTGGACTCTCAGTGAGTCACCCCCCTTCCTTTGGTCAGTTTGGGACTGCGATGAGGTAATTCCTCACCTGACTCTGAAGGAGGGGGGGGGGGCGAAGCCAAGAGGGAAGAAAGAACATGAATAAAGGGAGAGACATTTGCCATGCTCTTTCTCTCTCTTCCACCTCCATCTACAGACATCACCACCAAGCAACTGAAGCACTGATCAAAGGGGAGAGCCTGGCTGAAGGGCAACCAGCCAGCCTGTGGTGAGAAGCATCTAAGTTTGTAAAGGCATTGAAAGTGTTAAGATCAGCTTAGAATGTGTTTTGCTTTTATTTCATTTGACCAAATCTGACTTATTTGACTTATAATCACTTAAAAAAATCTATCTTTATAGTTAATAAATCTGTTTGTTTATTCTACCTGAAGCAGTGAGTTTGGTTTGAAGCATGTCAGAGACTCCCCTTGGGATAACAAGCCTGGTACATATCAATTTCTTTGTTAAATTGACGAACTCATATAAGCTTGCAGCGTCCAGCAGGCATAACTGGATACTGCAAGATGGAGGTTCCTAGGGTTGTGTCTGGGACCAGAGATATTAGCTAGTGTCATTCAGTTGCACAATCCAAGGAGCAGCTTACATGCCAGAGGCAGTGCATGAACAGCTCAGAAGTGGGGGTTCTCACAGCAGAGCAGGGTAAGGCTGGCTCTCAGAGTCAGAGATTGGAGTGACCTAGCAGATCACCAGTCCAGATAACACCAGAGGGGAACGTCACATGCACCCTCTGTAATAGCAGTTTACAGTTCACAAAGCAGGATTGTTTGTAAGTTAGTAGTTTTCTGTGGTGGAACCTCCTCCATCATGCTGTGACACCTTGAATGTTTGCTCCTGACAGAAAGCTGAGCACGTCAGAGAGGCTGACAATTATATTTACCAATGGCCCAAACGCTAGAAGGCATAACTCACTAGCAATGATTCTAAAAGTGTCAAAGTGGTTAATAATTAATAAGGCCAAATTTTCCTTTTAGATATGTGTGTATTACTCCCATCCACATATAGGAGTATAGAATTTTAGAGTTGAAAGAAGATTATACTATGTGGGTGGGAACAGATAAGTTGTTCAAGTATATATTATTAATATAGGGGGAGTCTGTTCTATTTATGTTCGTTATTTTCTGCCATTAATATCTAAGGCCATGGAGTCCTGCACTAAGAGCCACATGGTTGGACCCTTTTGCCTACACAGAGCCCCACTGAAGGCAGTATGGCATGAGCCCTGCACCCGTGAGGAACCTGTACATGGTCAGGGTCTAGTTTATGGTGGTTCCTACACTTTCTCATGGCTTTAAGATGGAGAGCTCACACACCCAAAAGACATAGGAGTAAGACTGAGTCTTTGAGAGAACTGGCTTTAAGTCTGATAATAATAGAACTACAATAAAAAGGTACCTTTTAGATTCTGGATAAATCGCTCATTTGTTGTTATGTTATTCATTAACACTGCCTGCGGGGAAAAAGTGAAACTGTATTAAAACAATGCTGATCAAACCACTTATTTAATAAAAATATAATCAAGTAATTCTTGAAAATAAAGCAAAAATGTATTTCTAAGTAATATGATACAATTAAAAAACAAACACTGTATTAGGTGCAGTTGAGATCAGTTATGTTATTTCAATTCCTAGATTATGAAAAAACAAAAAAAAATTGTACTACCCAAATCAATGAAAGATCGTCATTACAAATAAAGCAAGATCACAACATTTTAAACAGGTTACTCATTGGAATTATGAGTTTAAAGAGTCCACTGCTAAATACTTGTTTACCATTGTCTCCATTTCATGTTAATCTTACAATCACAGTAACAATCAGATTTAGAGTGTACTAATCAACTGGACCTTTAAGAAAGAAAGATTCACCAAACTGCATCCTTTCAATAATTCTTTTGAGATAGAACCAATAAGCCTACTGTCAGGATTGCAGGGAAAAAGTGCCAAAAGAACAATTATTCCAACAACACAAATAAAAACTCTACCAAAGTCAGTAAATCAAAGGAGAAATGGCTTTACTGTACTATTAGGTTTTAGATTATGCACCATTATATTTAGTCCACTTCCCTGATGAATGGGATCCTCTTTTCCTTCCCTGGGACAAGTGAGAGGTGTAATGCCCTTTCATTCCCATATCTTTAACTCCAGACACACTAAAAAGGCAGTAATCCCAGGAGGGAGGAGAAGGGCAGAAATACACACGCACATGAAATTGGACAGGTGTAGGGGAAAAAATAACACTACATGAAAATAGTCTCAGACAAATGCCAACAGAGAACTCAGCTTCAATGTCTAATATTTAGAAATTGTGTAGGAAACCAGTTTAGTTTTGAAGATGACAGATGATTATGCCTATTTAGACGTATAAATCTGTATATCTTCTGAAGTATCTATTCACTGTGCTTGGAAGTAAATTATCAGGATTCCTATTTATTCATCCCAGGATGCACCCAGTATTTCACAGGTTTCAGAGATCAGGATACAACCATTCCCAAAAGAGGTTTTTTTTCACAGAAGTAGCGCTGTTGCCATACAGTATATGGGCTGCCTTAACTGGAAGGATCACTTCTATGATCAAGATGGTCATTCAGTCTGTGCAGGCTACTGATAATGATGCCAAATAGTGCTAATTTTGATTGTGCTTATTGTAATGTAATCAGCCATTCACTAGGAGCTAGAGAAAGAGTTCACCAGTTCATCTCAAACACCTGGCAGATGGTAATGACTTTTGTTCACTAGCAGCCTAAACCAGATTTGTGTCCTACCATCTAGTTCCCCAAACAAACTGTTATTTTAATGTAATGACAGAGATATTATTGTTTACAGGAACCAGTAAGTTATATTCACATCTTCATGCGGAGGGAGCAAATTTCAAACAGATAAAAAGGAAATTTTTCTTCTACACAATACCACACAGCCCATGAAACTCAATGCCAAAAATATCACTGAGGTTAAGAGCTTAACAGGTTTCATAAAAAAAGACCATTAATATGGATGACAAGAATACCCAGACTTATACTCATCAGGATTTAAAAAAAGAAAAAAAAAATCAAGAGTTTTCCAAGGATTATAAACCCTGATTGCTTCACCACATAAACCAACCTTTAATGAATGGTGCTTTGCCTATGGTGAGGTTATTCCATAACTTCCAACTGCAGGATTTCTTATACTGGAAACATCTGGTACTGGCCATTGTTGGAGACAGGCTACTGGATTAGATGGTCCAGCAGTCCAATTCAGTATGGAAATCCCTATGTTCCCATGTTATTTTCCTAATTTTTGAACATGGAAATAAGACTATGCTTCATTCTGAAAGCATTATAGAATGACTGCTAAATTTCATATTACTCAGAATGGTAGTAAGGGTGAGTAGTAATCATCTCAAAGGGGAAAGCACAGGTACATGTTATTGGAAGGTCACTTATTAAGTCACAGGTAAAAATGCATTACTTCATATCCTTTATGCATCACATACAAAAGACCCTTTTAGTGAAGCTGCAGTACCCTCCTGAATGTGAAAATATGATGAAAGGAGGGTCATATAGAAAGAGATCAGGAAACACTGGTTAGTAAAAGCACTTTAATGTTTGCAGCAAATCCTGTTTAATAATTTACAAGAAAACGTTTACAACAGCCAGAAGGTTGTTTCTTAATGTTGCTGCACTAATACTTAGAGTTTTATATTTTTCAAGAGCTGTACCAACATTAACTAATCCTCACCACATTGCTCTGTTGTAGGCAGGCAATCTCCCCATTTTTTTGCATGTGGAGAAATAGACACACAAAAGGTAAACAACTTGGCCAAAGGCCAGAGAACAAGTTAGTGTCAATAGCCACAATGAGAAGCTCAGGTGCGCCTGGCTGCCAGGCCTGTGCCCAGGTCAATTTAGACCCAAGAGGAGGATTAGATTTGGTATTTCATTCAGCACATAAAGCATTGCATACAACCTCTAGAAGAGGAAAATTCAGAGCTTAGCAACTCTGTACACAAGCCGTGCCCGAGTACAGCAGCCCTCAAGCCACTCAGCAGAAAGACTTCCTGACTACAATCAGTGCTGTTGAAAGCAAGTAAATCATGTTTTCACATGCCTGACCAAAAAGCAGCACTATCAGCAGCAAGATGGAAGCGTCTCCCAGCTGGATGACAGTTGCTACAGTGACTGCCAGAGATTTGCTGGGAGAAAAGCATGTCTGTGTAGAAACCGTTGTCCACATTGGGGAGACAGAAAGCAATGGAATGTATAGCAACATCACTGAATTGGTGGGCAGAGAATGACTTACCCTAAAGAGAACAGTAATTCCTGCAAGAGAGTTTTCTAGTTTCACAGATTCACAGAAAAGGCCAGAAGGGTCTATTAGATATGTTCTGACCTCCTGTATATCACAGGCCATTACATCTCACCCAGTTACCCCTGTATTGAGCCCAATAACTCATTTGGCTAAAGCATATTCTCCAGAAAGGCATTCCCTTGTAACATTCCATGTTATCTGTCAGTTCCTTCAGCATTTCCCATGACAACAGCCAATGCTGTATTAAAACCAGGCTAACATAGATCTGAAAAATGAAAAATTGGTTTACTTGCTTTCAACACTGACTGTACACAGTGTATCTAATACATAAAGAAGCATTGTAACAAGAAATGGTAACAAACAAACAAAACAAAACATACCAAAGCAATTGACTGAAGTAACATTTTGTAATTTATCTGTATTTTCAGAGTAGTTTTCACATTAGGGGAAAAGTTGCTGTATAAGCAATTAAACTGATCAGACATTAACTAGACTGATTACTATTATAGTTTATTAATTAAGACTGCAGTAGTTCCCAAAATACCACAAGCTCTGGTCTCACAGAGTGTACAGTAATGAGACAGACAAGAAAGTGTGTTGGATAGATTTACAACACACAAGCCAGGAGAGATCAGTGAGAAGATAACCATGTGCCTTATGTTTACATATTTGGTGGCTATTGAATTTTATTTATTTAAATTAAATCCTAAAATTTCCCTTCCTTCACCATTCACCACACAGGTCTACCCACCATTTGTCTGGCAACATTCTTCAATTCTAGTGTCTTTATGCTCTTCTCTCTCAGCACTTTGAAAATGATTTGAAGAGGCACGTGTGACAGCGTACCCCATAAGGCTTTATGGGGGGGATGTTTATAAATGTATGTACAATATAACTGAAATATGTTTTGTGCTGCCTGTGCCATGTAACATATCTCCGTAAAGGTTATGGTCTACTATATCTATTCATCCTATTTGTACATATATATCATTTTCTACTTGAGGTTAAGAATATGGGCTGTATGCTTGCTTGATTTCTAAGTAAACTTTGTGAGGCATTTGGTCAGCTTCTTTAGGAAGGAATTCGCCAGGTTAAGTACCTGATCAGGAAACACTTGGGGAACAATGCATCTTGGAATGCTCCAATCCACATGAGAAGTCTTCCTGGAGACATGCAAGATACCATGTGGACAATGGCGTCGGCCTGTAAAGACTGAGTCATGCAGGGGCATGTGACTTGCCCAGGTGACTCCAAAACTCCATCTTGGAGCTGGACTTTGCATAGGAGGGAGGTCTCCACCCACAAGAGAGAGTCTATTTAAACCTGTGGGAGACCCCTCTATTTTGTCTTCAGCTGGCTAAAGAAGGAGCCTCTCCACCCCCCCCCCCCCAGGATACTTGGAGGAAACTGAAACAAAGGACAGTAACTACAGGGGTTGTGAGAGATTGCTGGACCCAGGCTAAAAGGAGATTAGCCTGTAAAAGGGAGCATTCTGGAACTGGTGAGGAACTTATCTGTATTCAGTTTGATTAGACATAGATTTGCGCATTTTATTTTATTTTACTTGGTGACTTACTTTGTTCTGTCTGTTACTACTTTGAACCACTTAAATCCTACTGTCTGTATTTAATAAAATCACTTTTTATTTAGTAATTTACTCAGAGTATGTATTAATACCTGGGGGAGCAAACAACTGTGCATATCTCTCTATCAGTGTTATAGAGGGCAAACAATTTATGAGTTTGCCCTGCATAAGCTTTATGCAGGGTAAAATGGATTTATCTGGGTTTAGACCCCATTGGGAGTTGGGCATCTGAGTGCTAAAGACAAGCACACTTCTATGAGCTGTTTTCAGGTAAACCTGCAGCTTTGGGACAAGTGATTCAGACCCTGGGTCTGTGTTGAAGTGGACTGGAGTGTCTAATTCAGCAAGACAGGGTGCTGGAGTCCTGAGCTGGCAGGGAAAACAGAAGCAGGGGTAGTCTTGGTACATTGGGTGGCAGCTCCCAAGGGGGTTTCTGTGATCCAACCCGTCACAGCACGCTAGCCACATAGCCTTTCAATCCTAGGTCATGAGATTAAAACATCAACAGGTGAACTAATTTTTTCCCCCAAGGCTTTCAAGGTCACTGAACATATTTTCTCTATTGTATTTCTTTTAGGC